AAAACAGAATGAAAAGAAGAACAAGAAAGAAAAGGCAAGATGCATGATTTTACTTACTTTTACCTTTTATATTTGCTATTACTAAGTTCTTTTATTGCTACATGGCAATGTAACAGCTCAACCTACAATTACTGTTTGATATTCATCTTTGAGGAGTTACAATGATTGTTGATGTTGATTTCAGGGCTGTGATATGGGTCGAAAATCAAGTTGAGGAAGCCAGACAGGGCGGAGAACTGTTGAAAGACTGGAAGTGGTATAGTGAACTCTTTCCCTGATTTTTTTTTTTTTTTTGCCTATGGTACTAAAATTGTTTATTTAGAAGGCATTATTTTTCTGGCTCATGATGCTTTTGAACTCTTGGAGCATTTGGGCTTGATAAGGCTTTAGATGTTCTGCTGAAAGTATTTCTTATCCATTATTGCTTATCTTTTGGTGCCATTGTATCTTCTAAATTTTGTTTTGGGGAATGAATCACATTATAGTATATGAAATAAGTTGTTAAGAACAGCTTCTTTATGTAGAGTTGCTGAATGTCGTGCCAAGCATTTAGAAGTCACTAGCTGGTGATATTTTGTGGGAAATCATAGCAAGTTTTTCTTTTGGCTCGGATTATGCTAGCCAAGGTTAAGGTTGGCGTGTTTCGCTTGCTAACCAATCTCGAGCTCAAATTTGAGCTCAATAGGTTCACTAGTCTTAACAAGTCTGCTCATGATTATCCTTTTATCAACATGTTTGTGAGTTTAATGATTATCCTTTTATCAAGGTTTATTCAAGTTTGACTCTCTTGCTTAACGAGGTTAAAAATGTTGATAAAATTATGTTGGTGTACTGTGCTAACTAAAACGGATAGAGCTCTTGTGTAGCTGAGCCTGACTTGTGCATGAATTGTTCAATCGTTTGACCCCTACTTAATTAACTATTCATGTGCCATTGACATAGTACAATTAGCACCTCTAATTGGGGAAAAGACTAACCTCTAGATATTTAACTTGATAGTAAATTAATTAACTTGAATGATATTCCAAGACTAGCACTGTCCACCCTCATTGTTCTGCTCTTCCTTTGACTTGATGGGATGAGACTGCAACACAACGTATGGCCTTCATGCCACTTATTACCGTGTTTAAGTTTCTACCATTTCTTTTTGCCTTATCTAATTGGTGCTCCAGTTTTTATATTACTCTTGTACCCTATTGGAATGCAAAACTTTAGAGATCTAGCTCATATAAGAAGTGCAAGACAAATATGGAAATTCTATTCAACCTGAATGAATCTGGCTGTTATAAATATCACATGAATTTGTTCTATTTTCTTTGAAGTATTGAGTTGGTTCTCTTTTATTTGGAAAAATAGAGTAAAATATAAATATATATATATATAAGTGCAAGACAAATATGGAAATTCTATTCAACCAGAATGAATCTGGCTGTTATAAATATCACATGAATTTGTTCTCTTTTCTTTGAAGTATTGAGTTGGTTCTCTTTTATTTGGAAAAATAGAGTAATATATATATATATATATATATATATATATATATATATATATTCTTGGGGCTTGTAGCCATGGAACTTGTCAAAAAATATATTTAGGCATCGCTGATTGGATTTTGCCATCGTAATCTGCCTGGACAGGTTCTTTTTTGTTGTAATGATTTGTTTAATATCCTCTATAGGCTTCATAAAAGTTTGTTGATAATATAATTCAACCGTCTCATTTTCACAAATAAAAATCAACTAGGGTTTCCATATCTGTGTGAAGCCCACTTCTAGAACTGTTCATACCTTTTTGCTCTTAGTCTTCTAATTTGAGCCCAAAAACTCGATGCATTTGATGAAAACAGTAATTAATCAGCTAAATATCTTCATAGGTAGATGCAATATAAGTGTTTCTTCATTTTTTTTTTTTTTTTTTGTTCATTTTTCTCTCTCTCTCTCTCTCAGTATTTCGTTCAAATGTTTTATGTCCTGCTATTTGAGGTACTAATATCTTTGATATGATATGTTTCTTGATGGTACTCTCAGGTGCCAAACCATTTTTGCTAGCATATCTTTGAGTCATAATTTCTAGTTTCAAGGACATGGTTAAACCTCCCAGCTTGGTGGGTAAAGCTTTCTCATACAACTTTTATTGCGCCATTTTACATTTATTAGCAACCACAAAGTTTATTTCCTTACCCTTATAGAATTGAAATTTAGTTCCCGTAATTGGTTGGTTATAGCTTCTTTAGTTGGATAAATTTGATTTCCGGTGTTGTTATGATGGTGTACTAGGGTTGGTAATGGTTAATATTTGGTTTGTAGTTGTGTAATGATGGTGTACTAGGTTCGAATAATGGTTAGTATTTTCAAAATATCCATGAATTTTTATGTTGGAGATAGAGTTTTTGAAAACTTCCCGAGTCTTCTTGTATTTGGGAACAGAGTTTTAGGGCATTGGGAGTCGACCCCTCGGCCTCAACATTGTAGAAACCAGATGCATAAATCTTATTATCTATTGTTGATTCATGAAATCTTGTAGTTTGTTTTCTCTTGTTGAAAGCATAGATCTTCTATTGTTGGGCATTGGGGTTTCTCTTTTCTGTGAGAAAATTAGCTGTTAAAAGTTCTATTTTTGTGCTCGATTATCATTGACCAGAACGATTATATCAATTTAGCAGAAAATGAAGTATAATTAGCATTAATTTTCTCTTAAAAGACTGCTGGGTCTGCCTGTGCTACATGAAATTTGATATTCTCACGAGTGTTTGCGGAATAGTTGCTGTGATTGAGTACTTGCAATTGTGTGATATGTGTTTTTTGTATGAAAATATAATTTATATACACTGGTAGGTATCGCTTGCCCGAACCCAGTTTATCAAATTTATACAGGAAACTCCAGGTTTGTACTGTGCACCAGTGAGTAGGAGTATTTCGGTTGATCGTATTTTGTTGTCTTTTACAGTTATGATTCTTCTATTATAATGAAGATTCATTATAAAAATTTGACATGATTTTTATTAAGCTTATATTTCCAAAGTGTCAAAATATGTGCTCGAGATGCTTAAAATTTTATTTTCTTAATTCCGGCAATAACTAACTGCTCGATCCTGTATAATTAAATTAAAGTGTGAAAAGACCACTACAATTCGTGTACTCTATGGCCAAAAAGGCACAAATAGACTTTTGCCTCTCTACATAGAGGATATGTTGCATACGATTGGGTTAATTTTGTGCCAAATAGGAGAGAAACCAACTTAGTACTCCAAAGAGAACAGAACCAACTTAGCATAATTTAATCAACATTTTCGGATAACCTTGCTTGACTTGTTAAATTCACAAACATGTTGATAAATGGATAATCAGAACAAAGTCGTTAAGACTAGTGAACAATTTTAAGTACTCAATTACAACAACTATTCCACAAGCAGTTCGGGATAAGATCGATCAAGTTTCTTAGGAGAAACAATTTCATGCACAACAAGCAGATCCATCAGTCTCTTAACAGAAAATTAATGCTAATTATAAATCATTTTCAGCTTGGTTGATATCACCATTTGCCCACAAAAATATGTTTTAAGCAGAGTATAGGTGGTTAGTAAAACGACACCCAAAAAAAAAATAATAATAATAAAAGGCTGATACATCTGGTTTTCTACACTGGTGGAATAAGACTGCAAGAATGAAGAGAAAACAAACTTTAGGATTTCATGAATCAACATCAGAAGATAGGCAAGGTATATATATATCAATACCATCAAACTAGAGGTCATATTGGTTCCACTACCAATTAAATATGCATGTGTACGGAAGCAAACAAGGTCTAGCACCAGAGAATACCATCAAGAAGCACTTTATTAACTCAAACAACAGAACATAAAACATGTCTATGACATTCTGAAAGGAAAAAAGAAAAAACACTTTAGTGCATCTATCAATGAAGATATTAGGTGATTAATTACTGTTCTCATTAAATGCATCACATTTTTTGAGCTCAAATTAGGAGACTAAGAACACAAAGGTATCAGCAGTTCTAGAAGTGGGCTTCACACAGACATGAACTAATCGATTTTTATTTTTGAAAATGAGACGGTTGAATTATATTATGAAGAAACTTTTATGAAGCCAATAGAGGATATTAAACAAATCATCACAATAAAAATGAACCTGACCTGGCAGATCATTAAATGTTATTTCCTGGATAAGTTGGCAAAAACCAACCATTGACTCTATTTCTGCAAAGAGAAGAAAACCAACTTATTACTCTAAAGAGAACCGAACAAATTCATGGGCTACTTAGAACAGCCAGATTCTGTTCTGGTTTACTAGAATTTCCAGATTTATTTTGCACTTCTTATATGAGCTAGATCTCCTCTAAAGTTTTTCCTTCCAATAGGGTAGCTACAATTAGAGCAGGCAAAAAGATATGGTTGAAACTTAAACATGGTAATAACTGGCCATACATTGTGTTGTAGTCCCATCAAGTCGAAGGAAGAACAGAACAATGATGGGTGAATGGCATTGCTCTTGGAATATCATTCAAGTTAATTAATTTACTACCGATATCTAGAGGATAGTCTTTTCACCAATTAGAGGTGCTAATCCTACCATGCAGTGGCACATGGCCCATAAGTAGGGATCAAACGATTGACCAATTCATGAACAGCTCAAGCTCGATTACATAAGAACTCTATCCATGTTAGTTAGCACAATACGCCAGCATAATTTAATCAACATATTCGACCTCATTAAGCAAGCCAAACTTTAATAAAACTTGCTCGACTCATTAAACTCACAAACATCATGATAAACTGTTAATCATGAGACTCGTTAAGACTAGTGAACATGGCCCATTTACTGAGCTCAAGTTTGAACTCGAGATAGGCTAGCAAGCGAAACAAGCCAACCTTAACCTTGGCTAACATTATCTAAGCCAAAAGCAAACTAGCTATGATTTCCTATAAAACACCACCAACTAGTGACTGCTAAATGCTAGGCACCAACATCCAGCAACTCGACCTAAAGAAGCTGCTCTTGACAACTTGATTAATATAATATAATGTGGCTCATACCCCAAAACAAAATTTAGAAGATACAATGGCATCCAAAGATGAGAAATACTTTCAGCATAACATCTAAAGCCATATCAAGCCCATATGCTCCAAGAGTTCAAAAGCATCAATCATGAGTTATAAACTTTTCTCAAAGAAAGTTCACATGAAGCCCATATGCTCCAAGAGTTCAAAAGCACCATGAGTGAGTTAAAATATTACCCAAATGAAGTTTTTAACCGCATCAACATACAATATATGTACCGTAGGCAAAGTAAAAGTAGCAAAAAACAGGGAAAGAATTCACCATGCCACTTCTACTCTTTCAACAGTTCTCCACCTTCTCTAGCTTCCTCGTTTTGATTTTCCACCCTGATCACGGTCCTGAAAGAACATTCCTTGCACATCAGGCACAAAAGACATCAAAATCAACAATAATTGTAACTTCTCAAAGATGAATTGGAAACAGTAATTGACAAAAAAAAATAATTATGCTACCTACTAGGTCAATGATGAAATAGAGGTTACTTAAATGCTAGGTTGAGCATTATAAGATGTAAAAGTAAGTAAAATCATGCATATTGCCTCTTCTTTCCTTTCTTCTTTACCTTTTCTCTTCTTTTCCTGGTTTACTTAGCTCCACTCACTTCACCTTGCAAAACAGGTGATTCCTCAGAAGTGATTGTATCACGAAATTTGGCTCCAAGTAAAACTAGGCTCTCTGTATAAGCATCAGCATAAAAGGATTCTATAAACCATTGATCTGTAGGTCAACAAAAAGGACAATGCATTACTCGATTGATAACCATCCCTTGTCCAAAAAAGAATTGGCCTTTCCTTGTAAAGCGAGTTACACTTTTGAATAATGCTCCATACATATCAATATTGAATTGTTTAGTCCAAGACTCTGATATGCCATACTCCTTCATCACCCATGTGGAATGCCACAATCAAGTAGAACTTGTTATGGTTACTGCTTTTCCAATCATAAGCAAGCCAATGTGGAAGACCTAAATGGCTGATGTTTTGCCATGTGCCTCTGCTCAGATTGAAAATGTCAACCTCTGGAGGAATGTGACAATAAGTGAGTCCGTATCCGACAAATACACACAATCCTTACAGTCATCAGTCAGCGAATAAAAGCCAAATCCAATGTTATGCATCAGTCAGCGAATCAAAGCCGAATCCTTACAATTTTAAATTTTTTTTTACAAGGATCAAATGTCTCGTGTACAAGAATGTAAATTTGTGATTCATCTATTTGTCTTGAATGATCTAAAATTGATCACTTGGGAGAGATCATTGTTTCTCTATAAGATTTTTCTTTCTCCGCCCATCAATCGAGGTTCGTCGCTCTATGAGAGGCTTTTGCGCAGAGGAACCATCTTAGCGGAGTAGCAAACTTAAGCCTAGAGAGATGGAATTAAAGAGGAGATATAAATCCAAAATCAAAGAGTAGAATCAAACTTATTAATTCAACATAACAATTCAAAGAAGGATAAAAAAAAAAAAAAAAAAAGAGACCCAAATGAAGGAATAAGCTACAAAATTCAACAATTCAGAAAAATACCAGCAGCCAAAACAGAGCCAAGGGAAAGTAAATCAGCCCCCCCCCCCCCCCCCCCCCCCCCCCTCTCTCTATATACTTGATGTTTATGTTCAATGTATGATAAAGATTAAAACCCAACAACTGCCATTAAAGTGTGATCAGTGCTCACAAGAAAGAAGACAAAAAAATCAAAAATCAAACAGATTCCATTAAAATGCCAGCAAAAGAAGACATATCATGCAGGTCATACAAAGAAACAAAACTCTCTCCCTCTCTCTAGACCAAAAAATCCAGCAAAACCACAACATTTCTTGTTTTGTAGTAGATTTACAAAAACCCTCAGCCAAGCATTCATAAAAATTAAAGATTTCTTAGGGTTTAGTTAAATAGCAAGAAGAAATAGAGTGTCCCTTGGACAATTCCAGCGACGAAAATGGCTATTCTTCCTTGTTGGCAGTGGGGAGTTTGTGAGTGAGTGACCACAGGAGAAGAAGTGAGCAGTGAAGTGATATGGTGGAAAGGCAGTAAGGTTATTGTGGGAGTTTTGGTGGACTCTGTTGTTTAAGACAGTCCGGTGAATTTTAATGGTACTGTAGCTTCATGAATCAACAATAGATAAGATAGATGCATCTGGTTTTCTACACTGCTGGAATGCCTTCGCACGCTATCAACCTCGGAGATGCAGCCTGTTAACCATGTCCTTGAAACTAGAAATTTTGACTCAGAAGATATTAATACCATCAAACTTAAAGTCATGTGGGTTACACTATGTCACTATCAATTAAATGAGTGGATCGAAGCAAACAAGGTCTAGCACCTGACTAGCACCTGAGAATACCATCAGGAAACATATCATATCAAAGATATTATTATCTCAAACAACAGGGCATCTATGACATAATGAAAGGGAAAAAGAAAAATGAAATAAAGAAATAGAAGGAAAAATAAAACACTTATATTGCATCTATCAATGAAGACATTTAGCTGATCTATTGCTGTTCTCATCAATGCATCACATTTTTTTCAGCTCAAAAGACACAGCACAAAGGTATCTGCAGTTCTAGAAGTGGACTTCACATGGACATGAAATTTACTTGATTTCTATTTGTGTAAATGAGATATGGTTGAATGATAGAATCAAACAGTATTTTAAGAAGCCAACAGAGGATTTAAACAAATCATCACAACCTCTTTCTGGCTGATGAGCTCATCTAAAGCTAAGTCAAGACTAAGGCGACTAACTCTCAAAGTGAGTTGGTTTCAGAGCCTAGTAGCCCTGGCATATCACTATTACTTCCTGGATACCTGCCCCATTTTTTTATTTTTTTTTAATTTAAAATAATGAACCAACTCTATTTCTCGAAAATAGAAGGGAACCAACTTAGTACTCCAAAGAAAACAGAACAGATTTAAGTCTGTGAATGTACATGGACTATTTATAACAGCCAGATTATTTTCCGGCTGACTAGAATTTCAATATTTGTTTTGCACTTCATAGTTCTTAATTTCTTATATGAGCTAGAGCCTAGATCTCCTCTAACGTTTTGCCTTCCAATAGAATATAAGAATAAAGTAAAAACTAGAGATACAACAGAGAAGGCAAAAAAAAAAAAATGGCTGAAACTTAAACATGGTAATAAGTGGCCTGAAGGCCATACATTGTGTTGTACTCTCATCCCATCACGGCAGGAAGAACAGAATAATGAGGGGTGAACAGCACTGCTCTTGGAATATCATTCAAGTTCATTAATTTATTATCATGTCGGATATCTAGATGATGAGTCTTTTCATCAATTGGAAGTACAAATCCTACTAGGCATTGGCACATGGCCCATAAGCAGGGGTCAAACAAGAGACTAATTCATGAATAGCTAACGCTCCACTACATAAGAGATCTATCTGTGTTAGCTAGCAAGTACACCAGCGTAACTTAATCAACATTTCGACCTCATTAAGTAAGAGAGCGAAACTTGAATAAACCTTGCTTGACTCATTAAACTCACGAACAACATAAATGGATAAATCACAGGCAGACTCATTAAGACTAGTGAATATGGCTCATTTATTGAGCTCAACTTTGAACTCAAAATTTGCCAGCAAGCAAAACAAGCCAACTTTAACCTTGGCTAGTATTAGGAGCCAAAAGGAAAACTAGCTATGATTTCCTAAAGAAGATGCTCTTAACAACTTTATTCATATAATATAACGTGGCCTGTACTCCTAAACAAAATTTAGAAGATATAATGGCCTCAAAAAATAAGACCTAATGGATAACAAATAGTTTCAAGTATAACATCCAAATCCACATCAAGCCCAAATGATCCAAGAGTTCAAAAGAATCACGAGTGAGTTAACTTTTTTCCAAAGAAAGTTCACATCAAGCCCAAAAGCTCCAAGAGTTCAAAGGCATCATGAGTTAGTTAAATATTGCCCAAAGACATTTTTTAACCACATCAATATACAATTTTTGTACCTGTTGTTTGTGCATTGCCACTTCTACTCTTTCAAGAGGACTACACCTTCTCTGGCTTCCTCATTTTGATTCTCCACCCTGATCACAGCCCCGAAAGAACATTCATTGCACCTCAGGCACATACAGACATAAAGATCAACAATAATTATAACTCCTCAAAGATGAATATGAAACAGTAATTGACACACAAAAAAAATAAGAAAAAAATATATATAAAAAAAGATTATGCTGCCTACTAGGCAGTGATGACATAGAGGTCACTTAAATGCTTGGTTGAGCTTTTACATTTACATGTAGCAATGACAGAACTTGGCAATAGCAAATTTAAGATGTAAAAGTAAGTAAGAATCATCCATCTTGCCTCTTCTTTCCTTTCTTCTTTGTCTTTACTCTTCTTCTTTTATAAGTGTAAGCAAAAGACTACAAATGTTTTGGGATAAAAGAGGGGGGATAATTTTGCTCTTCTTTTTCGGGATTCCTTAGCTCCATTAACTTCTCCGTGCAAAACAGGTGATTCCTCATAGGTGACTATCACGAAATTTTGCTCCAAGTAAAACTAGGCTCTCTGTATAAGCATCTGCATAAAATGAGTCCCCAGACCATGGATCTGTACATCCATGAATGTGAAGACGCATTACTTGTTTTGCAACCAGATCATAAGCTACTAGATTCCCCGCATTTGTCCCAAACAGAATTTCACCTTTTCTCGTAAAGCCAGCTACACTATTAAAAGATCCTCTCTTCGTATCAATATTAAATTGTTTAGTCCAAGACTCTGATATGCCATACTCCTTCATCACCCATATGCAACAAGTATCTTCGCCCGAAATACCAGCAATCAGAGACAGTGATTCTTGAAACTTTGCAACACAAACACTTTTCTCCACGTAGTCACAAAAAATGCTACTGGGCACCATGATCTCGCCAAATACCTCATCACCCATGTGGAATGACACGATCAAGTTGCTCCTCCTTCTCCAATCCCAAGCAAGCCAATGTGCAGCCCCGTTCAGATAAGCCTGGGGAGCCCGCTCATAGATGGTATATGGAAGACCTAAATGGCTGATGTTCCTCCATGTGCCTGTGCTCAGACTGAAAATTCCAATCTCTGGAGGAGTTCGAAAACTAGAGGGTCCATTGAGATACACAATCCTGACAACCTTGTAGTCATCAGTGACTGAATCAAAGCCAAATCCGATGCTATGATTAACAAGATTATCTGATCGAAACTTGACCTGTAAATTCTGTAATGGCGGAAGGGCCAACGTATTCTGAATTGATGGATTCCATAGATAAAGCTCCTCCTGAGAATTGTGCAAATCATTGTAAAGGCACACGAGCCCATTGCAGCAACCGATTATCCTCAAAAAAGGGTCGCTGTGGGTCTTCAGTGGAAGCTCAAGCTCTGCATAATCACAGAACATTTCGTTTTTGCAGAGTAGTAGCGAGTAATGCACTACATTGCCATCATCACCAGAGCGTCTTCGAATTAGAAGAAGGTTGTCGTTGTTGTCCGCATTGAGGTGTGTGGTGATGAAATTAGGGTTCGTGAGCAGAGAGTACCATGATTTGCAGACACAAGCGCAGCGGACGAGGGTTCTGATGGGTAGTCTAGTGAGGACGTCGATGAACACATCACGAGGCAAGAAATCTGACATTTTCGTCCGATTCGCCGCTTGAAACAAACAGAGATGGATTTGAACAAACAAAACCCTAATAACTACTTCAACAAGCAAAGTATTTCCCTCTCCTTTACTAAACCCTAGCAGGGTTTTAGCGAAGAATCAACCACCTCTTCGTCAGAACTTTGAAGACCCCGATTTACATATACAGTTATCACACTGTGTGTGTATATATAGATATATGTATGTGTGGATTGTATGAATGAAAAAATTGAATTTAAAACCATTTATTTGGCGATCAGTGGAGATGAAGGTGAGAATTGAGGGAGAGAGAACGTGTTGGGAACTTGGGAGAGAGAGCTTCACAGAATCAGTGAATTGGGGACGAAAACCGGTTAACCCGTTTAAAACGGGTCTAACCCATTTTAAAATTTAGAACACGTGTTGGCGTTTTGTTAGACCACATCACTTTAGACAAAACTCAAGTATTTTCCGTATTAGTTAATAATAGAATTTCTCTCCTTTTTAAAAAAAAAAAAAAATTAAAATTAAATTAAATTAAATTATTAAATATTTTATTATGTCAAATTAATTAGATATAAATAAGTATATCCCATCAAATGAATTTATTATATACCTTTCTACCCTATTACTTATTCATTGTCAATACATATTGTTATATTTGTTAAATGAATTATATTTGTGTTCCAAAATCCAATGTAATAAATGAATTAAGTGTTTATTGAATTAAATATATTTTATAGTGTAGTTTCAATATCATTTAAAATAAATTAGTGACTTCCTTTATTATTGAATCTTGAACACTTAACATCTAAAATAATTTTTTTTTTTTTTTTCACAATTTACAATTATCGCTTAAAACTTCAGCATTTAAATTCTAGTTCTTAAAATATTTAATTTTTTCAATACGAAATTCTCAATTTACAAATGCCTGCTTAAAACTTTTGTAGTCAAATTTCAGTTTTAAAATTTTTAGTCTTCTCTTGTTCACTTTTTCTTGTAGCCTATTATACAGTTTTTTCTTTTTATTACAAACTTGTTGATGAGAAAAAAATGTTTAAGAAATTCTCAATTTTAAGTTATTTGATTCTTGTTAGGTATAATAAATATGAATATGATATTTAGATTATCTGAAAAATTAAAAATTTTACAAAAAAAAGTAACATGCACAATGTATTACTACACCACCAGCAAGTGAGGTACTTATTCAATTTTTAATTATATTTTTTTTATTGAGTTAAAAAAAAATTACTTAGTTAATAATGTTCTAAACTTAACACAATAGGGCTCCGTTGACGTTGAGGTTAAGTTCGAGTCCATCGGATGGGGCATATAAAATAACTTGTTAAAATTTCATGGATAAGTTATTTTTATTAGATTTAAATAAATTTTTTTTTCTTGGTAAATATTTTACGACAACCAAACATAAAAAAATAAAAACGAGCCTAAATCACAAACTTGGATCCGATAGCAAATATACGCCCTGATACAATATAAAATTAATAAGATAAACACATAAAACATAGTCATTAATATTATTTTTTTCCGTAAGTAAGGATAAATAGAAAAAGAAAAATATACAATTGAAAAATGGGGCATACCCCATGCCCTTACAAGAGGCCCATAACCGGCCCAAAGGTTGCTCAGGCCAAGCCAAAAAACCAATCCACACAACCACGTACAAATAAAACAAAATACAAAGGCGAAAACCAAACATCGCCTTAGATTAAAAAAATAACGAACCCTAACCAGCAACTAACTCAAACTAGAGAGAAGGCATAATTATCAACAGAAAATGAAATATTTCCGACTACTAATGGGGAGGTGGTGGTGGGTGATGGTTTGTAGGAGGTTGGAGGAGGTTGCAGTGTGGTGTTTGTGGCAATGGAAGGATGTGGTTGAAGGTTTGGGAGGTTTGTGCTTTGTGAGAAAGGCCAAAAGGGATTCGTATGTGAAGTTTCATAGAAGGATAATGGAAGATTCCAGTCATTTGCAATGTTTTCTACGTAAGGGTAATCACATTTTTTGATTGAGAAAAGCTTGGTTCGTACAGTGTTAATCACTAAGTTTAGAATCTACAATGGAGGTAAAGTATTGCCTCTAAACATTCTGTTGTTTCTCTCCTTCCAAATGTGATAAATATAGTTGGCTAACACCAGCTTCAGGGTCAAAATTCAGCTCAATTTTAAATTTTATACAAGTCCATTCCTTCCATTTGTTGGTTGAATCATTAGAACATAAAGTCTATAGGTGTCTAAGGATGGATGCATTATTCCATTGCTAAAGATCATAGATGTCTTTGCCCTCCTGCCTTCTTTGAAATGCAAACATTTTCCCATTTGACCTTTGCTCTGAACTTGTTCATGGCAGGGCCATTCCATAGGAACTTCTGAAGAATTTGATTGATTTTTTCACATACTTTGGATGGAAGTATGAAGAGGTTTGTCCAGTAAATATGCATGCTGAAGAGAGTTGCTTGAATTAGTTGAAGTTTGCCAACAAATGATAGTCCTCTTGTTGTCTAATTTGTAACCTTTGAAAGCATTTTGTCCACAAGAGATTGACAGTCATTTGCTGTCAATCGAGAAGTGATGAGTGGGAATCCAATATACTTGACCGGAAGTGTGCTCAAGGGATAGCTAAGAAGGTTGCAAATGCTAGTTAATGTGGAAGTAGAAACACCACTAAGGAAAACTTGACTTTTATTTAGGTTGGGAGCAAGACCAGGGAGTGATGAGAAAGTAGAAATGACAGATTTGAGAGATTGAACAGAATCCAAATTACTATGACAAAACATAATGATATCATTAGCAAATGAGAGGTGTGAAATATTGATAGCATGGCATCTCTAATGATATTTAAACAAAGGATTTGACGAGATGAGCTTAGTGGTTATACTAGATAAAACATCCATTGCAATAATAAAAAGATAGAGGGATAGAGGATCCCCTTGTCTGAGCCCTTTAATATTTTTGAAAAAACCACACAATTCTTCATTCACAGAAACAGAGAAGAAGATAGTAGTGAAACAAGTTTTAATCCAAGAGATGAAAATTGGAGGAAAGTGAAGGAGCTCAAAAGTGTCAAATAAGAACTGCCAATGGAGGGAGTCAAAAGCTTTATGCAAATCAACTTTAAGAGTACATCTAGGGGATGATGAGTCCTTATGATATCCTCTTAAAAGTTCTTGCGCAAGAATAATGTTATCCCCAATTTTCTTCCTTTGATAAAAACATTTTGTGTTTTATCAATGAGGGAAGGTAGAATAGGTTTAATCTTATCTGCTATAAGCTTGGAAATGCATTTGTAGAGGACGTTGCAATATGAGATGGGCCTATAGTTAGCTGGGGATGAGGGGTTTGGTACTTTGGGAATTAAGGCAAGGTAAGTAGCATTAACTTGCTTGAGGATATTACCTGACTGAAAGAATTACTTAATGGCACAAGTGACTTCCTCACCTACAATAGACCAAGCTCTTTTGAAGAAAAATAAATTGAAACCATCAAGGCCAGGAGATTTGTTTGCTTGAATTAATGGAGAATAAACACCTTTTAATCTTATCATCAGTAGGAACGGAGCAAAGGTTAGGGATAAACTCATCATTGATAGTTTTTTAAACAAAAGGAGAGAGTGAGGAAATACGTGGTTAGTAATGAGGATTACTACCAATGAGATCATTGAAGTAAGTGATGAAACAATGCTTAATATCCTCTGGATCACTTGAGGTATTGCCATCTGCCAATGGAACACTAGTGATCATTTTCCTGTTAAGCCTGTTCTGAATACTTTTATGGAAATAACTTATATTGTGGTCTCCTAGAGCAAGCCACTTAACTCTTGCTTTTTGTTGAAAAAGTTGTTCCTAAATTTTATTGAGGCTTGAAAAGGCAGTGATGAGGCATCTCTCCTCATTTCTCAGTACAACATTGTTAGGATCATTGTAAAAGCTATTTTGACATTGGATGAGATTTTCCTTTTTAAGGTTAACCCTACTGGTTACATCACTGAAGGTGTTGTGGTTGAGTTTTTTCAGCTCAGCCTTGAGCCTTTTCAACTTTGTAACAACCCTATACATTGGAACACCTGCAACAGGAAAATTCCAAGCACTGACAATTATGCTCAAAAAATTAGGATGATCACACCAGAAGTTAAATAACCTGAAGGGACATTTCCTTTTTTGTAATAGATAGTCGAATTAATAATCATGGGAGAGCAATCAGAGCATAAGGGAGGTTTGAAAATACAATCAGAATTAGGGAATATGGTGAGCCAAATGGTGTTCACAAGAGCCCTATTAAATTTCTTAGCTATAGTAGCTTGGCCATGGGACTTGTTTGACCAAGTATGGAAGTAACCTGAGTATCTTAAGTCATCAAGGTCTGAGTTCATAAGACAATTATTGAGGTCATTCATAACAGGTGTCCATTAGTCTGTTCCTCCATGAGCCTCTCTAGGCCATCTAGTGGCATTAAAGTCACCTAAAAGAATCCAAGGGCATGTGGAGATATAGGTGGAGATCTCAGTGATAACATCTTAGAAAGGTTTTCTATCCTCTGGAGTGTTAGCTCCATAGATGAAAATGACAAAAAAAAAAAAAAGGGTTAAGATTAGATTGCATAGGGGTTACATGGCAATGGATGTACTAATCAGACATCTTGATACAACTGAAAGTAAAAACAATTGGATTCCAAAGAATCCAAATCCTACCAAAAGGAGAGTGAGCACTATTGGTGATAAGGTTCCAATGGGAAAGAACATTATGGACAAGAGATTCATTAAGAATCCTAATTTTTGTCGCCAAAAGGCAAATAAAATGAAGCTGGTTACCATGAATGAACTGCCTTGAGGGATTATTCATCCCTCTGGTATTCGAAGCAGTAAAGGTCATTTAGGTTGGGTTTGTAGGTCCTCAAAGAACCTATTGTAAGCCTCATTTGATGCAGCATAGGTTGCTTTCATAGCCCTTCTATCATCTTTTCTCATTTTCTTTCTTTACTTATGTGTGGTTCTGGGGTTAGGCATGGTGGTAGTAGGGGAATCACATAAGTGATTTGGTGTGTGTCGTCATGTGCACAGTGTGGCCAAGTTTGAATTTATAGATTGTCATTACTACTACTAATTACTAATATAGCTAGAGTAAGTAGGGATCGTCCTAAGGGAAAGTGAATGGTATTTTTGCTTGGAAACAATGTTAGATTAGTAGGTCGAGTGATCAAAAGATGGTTTATGGTTGAATTAAACTACGATTTAAACTAAGTAAATGCAATGTAAAATAACTAAAGTAAGTAAGGTGTAGAGAATATGAGAGAGGAGTCTTGGGTCATAGAGTTCACCACTAA